GTTGACTCCTTATATATGAAATTTTTTTACCTATAATGCTTTTTAATATTTTATCTGTAATGATTTTTAAAATGTATGCGTTTTTGAATTATACAATAGTTTAGAGAGTTTATTTCTAACGAGAGATATCAAAGTCAAGTTTTTTTTATTCAAATAGAGCGTTATTTATACTGGGTAAGATTAAATTAAGATACTATTTTTGTAAGTCTATGTATATAATATGAGTGATATCTAAGACCTGTCATTAATTCCTTATATAAAATTCGTCGGAGACAAAACATCACACATATTTTGTCTACAAAGAATCAACGAAGTTTTTAGCGAAGAACCAACGAAGTTTTTATTCGTGAAAACTATTATACTTATTGTATATTTACTACTACTCTAGATTTAATAATTTGTCAGATTATTAAACCTAAAGTAGTTAAGTAAAGTAGGTTAATCTCCCTACGTAAAAAAGTTAAAAAAAATAAAAATACATATGGCGTCCATGGAATTACTTTTCACTTCATCGGTCCTTCCCACAGAAAAAAACAAAAGTAAAATATCTTATCTTAAACTTAAAAACTTAAAAAATCTTATCTTAAATTTTGACATTTTAAAGACGGCAAATGTAGAAAATTGATGACCTTTTTATGTCATATATATATATATATATATATATATATATATATATATATATATATATATATATATATATATATATATATATACATATATATATATATATATATATATATATATATATATATATATATATATATATATATATATATATATATATATATATATATATATATATATATATATATACAAACAATCTAAAAGTACAATACCACTTGTATTTATCATTATTGTCTTCCAGCAATATATTCAAGTATTATCTTCGATCTAATGACCTATAAGAAAAGTGCTTCCACTAATTAAAGAAACAAGACGATCGGGATGAAGTATCTCGTACAATTTAATGAATTATATAGGAGACGAAAAACTGTTACACTTGAAGAAAAATCACTGGAAAAAAGTAGTGTTTCAATCAAAAACAAAATTGGTGACCATTATCTGTTTTGGGAAAAATCCATCATAGAAAGACGAAAACGCATAAAGCAAGTTGTCAGTAACAAGTTTATGGCAAAAGAAATTAAATTTTCAACGTAAATCAATTCAAGTTGTTCAGTGCTGAAGACAAATGATAAATTTGTACAATATTAGTACAAAATCTACAAATTTATCATTCGTCTTCAGCACTTCGATTAAGTGCAGAAGATCTTGCTTTTTTTTCTGAAGATTTATATTCTTGTTGACTAATAAAATTTTCATCAAAGTGCAGCAACCATCTTCAGAAAAAAAAGCAAAGGACAGGTCAGATATACTTGTCAGATAACTTGGAAGGTTGCTAGTTTAAAAACTATTAATACATCCAAAATAAGAAAAATGTCTTTGAAGCTTACTTCAACAACAATATTACAACAACTTACTACAACAGCAACAAAGTCAACTTCCGAATCCTGAGTCAAAAGTCTGAGGCAAAATATCAAGACTCAGAAGAACAATTCACGAGTACCAGCAAGAGCTCAGCAAAACCAAAACTGCAACCAATTTAGTTATGAATCAGCAAAATAGAAACCATTTGTCACCACAGTTATCTCACGATTGATTAACAGTCATACACCTTTACAGTCTGGTATATTCAGATCAACTATTCAGACCAAACTGTTAAATTTAAAAAAACAAAACAATACATTTAGTACATTGGTTGCTGCACTTTGATGAAAACTTTATTAGTCAACAACAATATAAAGTGTTTTGACAACAAGAATATAAAGTTTAGAGAACAAACAAAGAGAAGTTATGTTACAAGCAATAGATCTACCAGATAAGTGATAAAGCAGATACTGTGTATAAGGTGACACAGGTGATAAGCAGATACTGTGGTTGAGGGTGTAGCTATTCTTGATGAATACAATTTAATTTAATGAAGATGATTGTAACTGACACTACGAATTTAAACAATGGAAGAAGGAAAAGGATTGTCAGTCAGTTACAAAGAAGTTTTACTAAAAAGAAACTGGAAAAATGAAACCACAATTCATAGGTTGTCAACATCTTATTGTTTACCGAGTCTTTGTATATTAATGGGTAAAGAACTTGGAGGAAACATCATGTTGCCCAATATAAAATATCTGTTATTCCCGGAACTTGTAAAAAACTTTGAATAGCTCAGGAGGAATTTTAAGAATAGCAAAGAAGTGATTACTTAAACAGCAGAACGGTGTAATCATATGAAGCTTCTATTTCATTTAACTCGGGTATTCCACTTTTTTTGAAGAATCTGGAGTATTTCCGAAAGTAAAGTTTCGGAAGATACAGAAATTTAACAATGAAAGATGGAGTTCCGAGCGATACTAGCTCTTTTAGCATTTATTATTCTACCAGAGAGAGAAAATTCACTACTTAACATTTATAGGTTCATCTCTTTTAGCAGAGCGGAGCATTGATTTACTGATAAAATGTACAATGCAGATGATTATCGCACGCTATGTAGCAGCTTGAACAGTCACGAAAAATTGTAAAAATTAATAAAAAAAGTTTTGGAATCAGGAACCATTGACACTGGAAATTCACAGAACAAATCAGTGCGCAGAACGAGCAATCAAGTGTCTTCAAAATCTTTTATGATATCTGTAAAAAGAAAGATTATAAACTATAGATTTTTTTTGTCTAACAAACCATGGGAGCTGTACTTGTAGAGTTATAATTTTATATTTATTTGTTATTTAGAGTGTTATGGTGTAATAAAAAACTGGTAAACGCCTAAAAATTACATCATAACTAGTGTTTTTATTGACTTTGACTAATTTGATGAAAAGTCAAAAGTCGAAATTAGTCAAATTTTAAACTGAATAGTCGATTTAATCAACTATGGACTTCCTACTAATCGGCTAAAAGTTGATATAGTCAAAGTTTATTTTTTTGAAATAAATAGTAATAAAAATAATAAAGTAATTTATTTTTGCTTCCTATTTTTTAATATAGTATCATTTAAATAACAATGGAGCAAAACAATATGAGAGAAGAGCTGCTCCGAAATCGGGACAATCTGTTCCTAGACCCTAATGATTTCAAAATTGCATAAGTTGATTTTAGCCGGCTTAAGAAATATATTTGTCGATTTATTCAACTGTCGAAATACCTAGCAGTTGTAATAACACTAACAACAGCTCTCTCTTTCTCTCTCTCTCTCTCTCTCTCTCTCTCTCTATATATATATATATATATATATATATATATATATATATATATATATATATATATATATATATATATATATATATATATATATAAAATTTCAGTTAGAACCTTGTCAAACCAACGCAATGAGATAAGTAAGATACGTAGACAGATGCATATCTGAGGGAAATTTCCTTCAAATCCTTTTGCACAAATGCTATTCAGAAGATCTAAGGCCCGATCATCTGTCAGGAGATGACGTCGAACAGGCTAAAGTGTTCCGCAACTTATCAATAAAATTGTCTCTACTAAGATCATTTGGATACAGATGGATGAGATCTCTAACTTTAGATTCTTGAGTGTTTGTTAAGTCCGAATCGATGTCAGGCCGGATGAAGAAAGATAATCTACATTGTTTTTCAGAGCTTGAAATCTCCTGTAATGATGAAGGTAACAAAGCAAACAATTTTCACTTCGTTATTGGATGTTTACAATTTTTTAATTGGCATATTGATAATTTTTTTCTTTTACATCTGATGATGCCCCATAAACGTGATGCCCGGGGTAAACCGGCCCGGATCCCCCACCCTCTGGGCGCCCCTGACTTCGACCAACACTCCCCTGTTATCTAAAAGTCAAAACCATGATTTTTTGAAATTAATTGCAAAAAAAATGTTTTTTAAATTACCGTAAAAAACGCAAACTTAATTGACTTGAATCTTTATTTTTCCTATACGCAGAGTCTGTTTATTTTTTAATGTTTTATAGGGGACAATGAGGCATTATGTTGGGGAACACTTTTGGTTTTTGCTTCCTAACAATTCTTTTAATAAGCCTTTTTTTAGGCAATTGATTTAATTTGTAAAATAAAATAAAAATTTATCAATTACCAAAATATAACAGGTTAAACTTTTGAGACTATTTAAAGTAAAATTAGAAATTTGTTTCAAGGTACCCATCGAGTATCTGGATACAAACTATGAGCATCATTAAAAAAGCAAATAAAAAGTGTGAACTTTTAAAAAGAGAGAGATTTTTACTTAAAAGACAAACAAATTAATATTTATAATCCAAATAATGCATCTAATGAATCAAATCCCATTTCAGAGATCCAGATATTATATCATTTTCAATGTTATTTTTAAGCATCAATAAATAGCATTGTACCAAAAATTGGATCTTCTAGTATTATATTTATATAAATCTTTTAAAAATTGACTGTAGATATTAAAAAAAGAAATGATTTTTAGAATAATTTATGACACAATGTAGGGCTTATCTACAGTTTTAGGCCTCCCCCCTCCTTTTACCCATAAATACTGTATCAAGTTACCCCATACTTGCCAATGGAAAACAATTGCATCATTTTTTTAAAAAAGTGTTATATTTTTCCAATTTTGAGTGAAACCAAATAACATTTAAAAATCACTATAAAGCTTTACATCTTTTGAGTGCCCAGTTGACAAAAATTTTCACAAATACTAAGACCCATTAATATTTTTGTGTTTAAGAAGGAACCTCAAGAACTTATCTAAAATACTTTTTTTTACTTTCCTGTTATAACTAATAGAACATCATTTGCTATGAAGCTTACTTCACCCTTGTGTGCATACTTCAACTGAAAAATAAGTAGAACCTACGAGTAGTGCTGCTACATCGACTGACAAATTAGTAGATTATATAACAAATAAAAATAGGTAGATTATATGATAAATAGGTAATTATAGCATAAAAAATAATTACAATAAGTTGTGTTTAAATGTACTTACTTGAACATACTTGAGTCAAACAAGGGCAAAAATCATTCGTACCACTTCTGACAGCACCGATAAAACTGCAAAAAATAAAACAAAATAAAAGAAAATAAAGTGGTAATTCAGTTTCGTATCTACAAATATTTTCTTTTATTTAGCAGATTATTAACTTTAACTTAATTGCAAGTTACGATAAAGCGTTTTGTGATGATTAAAAATTGCATTCTTTAAAAGTCATATTCTTGTTATACGATATACTTATAAATATATTTAGTTATTTTTTTTTTTTTTTGTTCTTTATTACATTTTAAAACATGACGTTAATATTTTATAAAATTTACAAGCTAAAATAAAAAAATATAGACAATTACAAGTGAAAATATTTAATATAAATATAAAAAGAACGCAGAAACTCGTAGAAGACCGTAAGGTCATGTCGTCGCCTTAGAGGGCAGAGGTTCTATTTCCATTTTGGGTAGTTTTGCAGGAGAACAAAAACAAAGTTTGAGCATTAAGCATAAATCAGCAATTTCATTTTTTGTTAGTGTTAATGTTTTTTGATCAATTAGAACTATCAAACATGATAGGAATAATTCAACTTTTTTGAAATTATTAACATTGAAGAGAGTATGGCACAAATTATAAAAGTCATCATGGAGATAGAACCTTTGCCTAAATTAATTGCGAGTTGAATGGAATTTTTGAAATTTATAAACATAATGAATCCAATTAAAATTCTTTTTTAATTAATACAAAATGCTTTTTATGATTGTGTAAACTATCAGATAATGACAATCATGGTTCAAACTTTTTAAAATTAGTAACATTTTGGGACAAATTTTATAATTACCATGGAGATAGAACCTTTACTCAAAATAACTGTGAATTGAACAGAATTTAAAAATTTGTAAACAATGTTTTTGCAATCAATATTATTAAATTCTAAGTGAAATCTTAATCTTAATTAGCAGAAAAATCAGAAAATTGTTATAATAGCAAAATTATATAACAGAATAATTATTATAGTAATACTGAAAAAAATGACTGACAAAAAACAAAGTCTTAGTTCTAGTTATCTTCATAGTCCGAGTAAAGAACAAAAATTGGCAAAAAAATTTTTGGCACACTCTAATGACAATGTTTTCATTCGCTTCCACTGGCAGATGATATGCACAGGATATTGTTTTTGGTCTTATTCCTGAATTGTCACGACGACGTGAAACATTGCTACTTTTCACTAAATGGCATATGAAATCTTTTTTTCTATTTTCACCCTCTAGTTGGTAGTAGTGTTTATTTATTTCTAGTCGTTTGTTTTCCTCAAAATGTTCTCCACACTTGAATTTGCACTTTAAACAGTTCACCGTTTTAGGTGTTTTGGGCGGTACTGCTTTACCTTTTCGTGTCTTGTATTGTATTCCATGGTGAATTCTTAGAATTACGAAAAAACTATTTAAAATTACCTCTATTTTAATAAAAGGTTGTTTATTCATTATATTTCATTTGTTATCGTCTGCCATTTTTAAGAATTATGTCATAGGGCAAAAAAGATATCTCCGGTATAGTCAGATGGCAAAGGAGATAACACCTTTGCCCTTTTGGGATTCCGCACAAATGTAGATAGCTTAAAACTCGCACAAATTTATTGCTCTTCTCCTACTATGTGGAGATAGACCCGCTGCCTAATCTGATTCTAACACTTATAATAGATGTCCCCAAAGTCGTAGTTGAATTTGAGCACAACATGGAGATAGAACTTCTGCCCTCTAAGGCGATGATGTCGTCGAGTACTGCGGTAAAAAGACGTTGTTACATTTTTACAAGTTAAATATTTTACGTAGTAAATAAAAAAGTGTTATGCAATAATAAAAGAATAACAAGATTTAAATTAAAAAAACTACAAAAAAATAAAAAGTTCACAAAATTCTTTTTAAAGATAATTGGACAAATAGTATAATAGCAATATAGGCTTGAAGATTGTAAATAATTGAGCTACAAATCATATTTAAAAAAATCATACATTACAAATCATATAAACCGATATAAATAATAGATAAAAAGAATTTCAAAAGGTTTAAAAGTACATTTGTATATCGTCAATTTCAAAAACTACTTCTTTCAACTTTTTTTTAAAAGATATGTAATTCCATTCAAAAGAAAAATCAAAGTTATTTAAGACAATTTTGTTCCAAAGATACGGTCCCCAAAATGATACGCAAAATTTACAATGATTAGTTTTTGAAAATGGTTGCATCAAAAAATCATCATTTCGTAGATTATATTTATTTTTTTGTTGTGTTATAAATAAACTATGAAAAAGAGACGGGGATAATTTCGTTTTACATTTGAACATAAAACAAAGAATATTATATACGTTAAGTTGATATATGTTTAAAACATTCATTTTTCTTAAGAGAAGCTTTGAATGAGTTCGTCTATCACAAGAATTAACTAAACATGCTATATGTTTTTGATGACAATGAAGAGGCTCTAGTTTACTTTTGTTAGTATTGCCCCACGCAATATTTGCATAGTTAACATGGCAGTGAATAAGTGAATAATATAGTTGCATTAAAGTGCGCATGTTTAAATAGCTTTTTGATTTGTATAATATTCCAATAGTTTTTGAAATTTTGTTGCTTAAATTTTCGATGTGTTGTCTTCATGTAAGATTTTCATCAATATAGTTCAAGCTTTTTAATAATAATTTGATGGTCGAAGTATCAAAAGCTTTTGATAAATCAATAAAAATTCCTAATGTATATTCAGATTTTTTAAACAACTCGTTAATATTACGTGTAAACTGAAGTATTGCATGCTCTGTGGAGTTATTTTTTTTGAAACCATTTTGATTATTAAATAAAATATTATTAACAGAAAGACGAGTGCTGATTTTGTTTGATCTAATCTCATAAAAATATAGTAGATCTGCTCTCTCATAGTGTTAAGCCGTAAGTAAATTCAATTAACACCATTTTAATAATTTAACTTTGAAATTTTTAAATTCTTAAATTTTTTTCCACAAGCTCTGTGTAGTTTATTATGTATGTTTATATGTATGTTTATATGTATGTTTATATGTATGTTTATATGTATGTTTAGTATGTATGCTCAATGTATGTTTAGTTTAAAATGTATGTTTATAGTAAGTTTTGTTTTTGAATCATCAATATTTATGACAATACAAAAAAAAAAAAAAAACTTGTGGAGTTACCTCATTTTGCACCCGGCAAATAGAACAAAGTTTTCTACATTAATATTTAATAAAACAAGATTTGAGTGAACAAAAAACAGTTTTTTTACTCAAACGCAACAAAACATTGGGAAATAAGTTTTAAAACTCTTTAAAAACAAGGATTTTAAAACGGCGAAATAAAGAATTAGTTACCATACATAAATTTTTGCTAAGTGAAATTTTCCAAAAACAGACATGGCTGAACTTCATACTTGTCTAACGCCAGTACAATGTCCTTGGGAACAATGATAGCCGAAAGATTATCTAGTGATTCAGTTTTTTTTACTTTTCTTAAACCCTATGTAAGTCTTTCCTTCAGCTTTTCTTTTTTAGCAATGGTTCAATCAATCAATCAATATATATATATTTCGTCAATGAACAAAAAAGAAAGAAAATTTTACAATGTACTTGTAAAATAAAAATAAAATAAAATATATATTTTTAAATTCTGACAGGAGCAAGCAGAAGACAATACATCTTATCATCTTGCCCCTTTGATAGTAAAATAGTTAACTTTATTTACATGATTAAGTTCGTAAAATCTATAATTATAAAATTAGTTTATTATAAAACTACATATTTTTGAGTTAAACATACATATTCGTATTAGTAAATACATAAAATACGACTTAAAAATACAAAAAAAAATTTTTATTGGTTAGATTTAACAAATGTTGTTTCACAGTTTTTTTAAATGCTTTAATTGAGGCTATAGATTTTATGTCATTATTCAGGATTGAGTTCCACAGACGTGGACCCCGACAAGTAATAGAGTAGTCCGATTTTTTAAGAGTTGTTGATGGTATGTAAAAATTGTCAATAGAATATCTTGTTAAGTATCTGTGATTAATTAAAGAGAAATGTGGATGAAAATATGATGGAAGCATGTTATTGTGAAGTTTAAACATAAACAATAAATTTTGATAAATGTTTAGTTCGAATACATTCAGAACTTTAATTTCTTTTAGTAAAGGCTTGGCGTGTGCATACCTGTCTGCATTAAAAATTAACCGAGTCGCTTGTTTTTGTTTGCTATAAATTTTTTTTAATAAAGACGAGTTGGTTCGTTTTTTTATTATTATTTTCTTCAGATTCACTTTCAGAAGTACCATGTACTAAGTTAGTGATTTCAGTACTTGCATCAAAGACAAAGAAAATTACTTACATTTGAGACAATGTTTTCGTGGAAAAAATTTGGCTCATTAACCAAAATGTTATTTCTTGTATAACTAATGTTCTTTAGATACTACTGTGAAAAATTATAATACTATGCTATAATACAATATATGAATGGAAATATACATTAAAAATATTTAACTAAACTAAAATGTCTTTTAAAATTACAAAAAAACTTGAAAAACGAATGAGAACTTAATGCATCAAAAACACAATAAAGGTCCTGTGCAAAATGGAGGTAACTGCGCACAGTGAGGCAAATTAGGTCAAAAATGGCAAATGCTTAAAACTCTAAGAAGCTATAGAAACCGATAGAAAAAGAAGCTATTGAAAGCCTCAACAATCTACTCAGATTTTGGCTGTGTGGTTCAAGTGCAAGATTTGCATAACACAAAAAAAGTATCACGACTTAACACTATGAGAGAGCAGATCTACTGTGTTTTTATGAGATCAGATCCTTACTGATCAAGCAATTCTTTTTTAAAACTTAAGAAATATCAAGGGAAAGCATTGCCATCAAATGTACTGAACTTGTTACTCTTAAAATGTACAAAATATTAATTATTTAATTTTTTTTTTTTTTTTCTTGTTAAACAATTTTTACGCGTGCTTTGTTTGACACCCAGAACTTGGTCCTTGACCCAAAAAAACCTTATTTTAGTGTCAAAT